AACTTTGTTAATAGAATCTTACTTTATTTTGTTTTTTGTGTAGGTTATGTTTAATTTGAAGGTGACTGCTCATATTTCCTGTACCGCCATCATAAATAAGCTTATGGCCACATTTAACTTGCTTATTACTCAACTTTGTTATTTCAACTGTACATATACAGTATTCTTTATCTTTGCTCAAAGTAAAGTACTTTCACACCCAACTAGACTTTGCATACTGCCACCTGAACTTCAGATGGTTTAATTTGTTTTTTTTTGTAATGTGAGATTGATCAGAAAAAGTTGTGGAAGTGGCACCACTGTTAGAACTAACCGATGATACATTATCACTTGTCTTGTGTGAAGTTTCTTCAAAAAAGTCATCACAAATATCACTTCCGTTCATTTTATAGTGAAAAAAAAATTATAACGAATTTGCATTTGAGAAAAAAAAGCATTAAATTCTCTTAAAAAGTGAGCTAAATTTCTTAATCAGGTTTGAGATGGCATACAGCATATCTGATATTACTCTTCGAAACCTGATCACCTGAATTAATCCGGATTGGCCCAGATTCCAGTAATCCAGGTCAAAATAGTTGTATCTGATTTCACCCGGGTAATAATTTAAGACCCAGGTTACCCATATTGATCCGGGTCAACCCGGATTAATATAACTCGGGTCCAAACACTAGTTGAAATGTCCAAAGTAATATAATGTAGGCTTGGCATATAGTTCAAATAGAACATCAGATAGGAATTTCAATAAGAAATTTATCGATAAAAGGAGTATAGTTGAGATTATAAGGATTATTAGTTAAGAATGTTAAGTAAGGTAATATTTGATGATTACAAGCAAGTTAATCAGCAAGATTGTTAAATAGGTTATCTTGGTGTGCAGTAACTTTGTAAAAAGTAAGTTGAATTTCATAAGACTTAATAAATTTATATGTGTTTGCCAAATAGAGAAATATAAAGTATAAGTATGAGAAAGAATAGATGCTGATTGGCAAATATTATGATATTTGGAGATTACTGATTGTGAGTTAGTAAATATGTGAACTGAGCAATATCTAGGAGCAGTAATAATTGCTGAAAAAATAGCAAGAATTTCAGCTTTAAAAAAGCATGGCCACAGTTTAACTTGTGTATAAAATGAGTTAATAGTTGTAGAATTATCAACTTGAACCCAACCTATGCCCATAGAGCACTGCAAAGTACCAAGATTAATAACAGAACCATTAGTGTAAAATGAAATAGATGATAAATTGTGATTTAAATTAGCAATAGTCTGAAGGTTATTAATAAGATAACATATTTCAAAAATAGAAGTAGTTGTTGTAGATTAATTGTAAGTAAAGGCAGAGGTAGAATATATAAGGAATGTTGAAGAACAACAGAGTATGCAATATCAAGAAAGTTTGCATGAAGGTTGAGAGTTTTGTTAGAATTAATGCAGCAAAGTAGCTTAGTAGCCAAATTAGTAGAAATAAAGATAGTACATTTGTTAGCAATTATGTTTAAATTAAGATGGCATTTAGTACATAATGTAGTAGTAGTAGAAGGAGTAGAATAAAGGTTAAAGAACTAAGACTGGAATGAGCAGTGCTAGTAGTTAATAAGAATAAGACCAGTAGGTGTATTATGCCTTTTGGTCTTGCTAATAATTATTTGATTATTAAGAACAATGAGTAGTCAATACTTAATATTAGAGATAAAGTAGCCAGTAGAGTAGCAAAAGTAGTTTATAGAGAGTAGATTATAATAATCATAAAGGGTACATTGATAAGAGTGACTTGTAGTAATATCCTTAAAGGTAGTAAACTATTGTAATATAATACCTTTTGAAATTTTGTTAAGTCTAAGTGATATATGTTGCTAGTGCAATAGACATGAATTGTCATGAGTAGTGAGTTGGTCTAGAAAGAGAAGTTTATGATGTCTAAGTTGTTTTTTGAAGATAGAATATTTTGGATAAGAAGAAAGAAGAGATTTAAGAGATATAGTTCTATTATTTAGGGTATATGGAATGTTGTAGATTGGGCTATTTGAAAAAGTTTAGCTAATATGTTTGATAAGTTGTATTATTTTAAAGTTTGTGATTAATCGATTGGGTCCATCAATGATTGGCTTAGAGTGAAAGAAAATATTAATAGAAGACCAGAGGTTTTTTAAAGTTGTTGAATTCATATATAAGTAGATGTGCCTAGTAGGTCAGAATTGTTAAGTCATTTAAGAAAATTGAAAATGTAGTATTATAATTGAATATCTTAGATATATTTAATATTGTAGATTTGAGGATGCAATAAGGTACTAAATAGTATTGTATAGCAAAGTATAGCTTTGAGCTTAACAAGACCAATGTGTTAAGTGAAAATTTTGTTGCAGGTAGGTTAATTAATAACAATATTGTGAAAGCAGTATTTAATAGTAAGAATGATAACTATATTGATAATATAGTAAGCATGTGAATCAGTTATATATTTTGTTTTTGCAATTTGGATAAGTTGAAAAGATTCAGAGATAATTAATTTTGTTTGTTTAGATTGTCTGTTATCTAAAATAAATCAGCAACCTAAAAATTTAAAGAGTTGTTTGAAAGAATAAAGTGGAAGTAGGTAGTTATTATAAGAGATAGAAGTATATTGAGATGGAGAGTTGTTAGTAACCAGAATAGATTTCAAGAGATTAACTTAAATGTTTGCCATAGTATAAAATAATTTAGCTATAGCTAATATATGAAATAACTCAGTTTGTGAGGAAGTGACCCAAAGAGTATCATCTATATATGCTAGAACAGAGCATTATATTTGTAATAAATAAGTTGTTTTAAGTTTTAGATTAGTGGTCTAGGTAGATTGTAGAGTATACCCAAGGACTTTTGAGTATATATGTAAAATAAGTGAGTTATAGTAAATGTGACATAATAAGGATATAATTGTTTCACTTTGATCAATATTATTGTGAACTGGATAAGAGAAAGTAAGACTAAGATTAATAATAACTTGGTTGTGACAATTAGTAAAAATATCAATAAAAATGCTAATAATGGATAAAGAAAGTAAGAGGCAAGAAAGTAAGTGTTTAAAAAGAACAAACTTTACAGAATTATATGCTTTGCTCATATCTTGTAAGAGTAACCAAATATCTTTGTAATTACAGGTAGCATCTTTAATAAGCTTGTTGAGAATATGAATAAGAATTAAAGTATTATTATTGGAGAGTATGACATAGTTAAAAAATAGGAGAATAGGGTTTGAGGAAAATATAGAGCTAAGTTGATTTGTAAGAGTTTTAGTGTAAAGTTTGCGAATGTGTTCAATCAGACTAATAGGTTATGTGAGGTTAAGGTTATCATTAAAGGTGTTGCATTTAGGAATAGAATAAATTCTGCTATGTTTCTATTGTTTAGGAATTCTGTTATCAAGAAGACAGTGATTAAAGAGGGCAGTAATAGCAGTAGTGCATTAGAAACTAATATGTTTAAGCATTTTATAACTTATGCCTATAGGATTACAGGCTTTGTTATTAGGTAGTTGTGAGAGAGTTTGAAGAAGTTCTTCATTAGTAATAAGAGAGTTAAGAGAATAATACTAATTTGGATTGATGTAAGAGAATAGAAGGTATTATTGTTTTCTAAAGTTATTAAAGAGAGTTTCATTTATAGGTCTGAGTGCAGTCCAATTATGAAAATAAGATTGAACATATTGTTTAATAAATAATAGATCAATAATAAATTGGTTTGGTGATTTTATATTTAAGTAATGAACAGGTTAGTAATAGTGATTGAGAATGCTATTAATGGCCTGAATAGAATGTGTAGTTAGAGTAACACATTTTTTGTTAATGGCTTTATTAATTTGTTGTTAGAGTAAAAGAGAGTTTTCAAGATGACAAGCATGGTAAAATTGTTTCCAAATAGAATAGACATGTTGAAGCTATGGTTGAATACAGGAGGGGTTGATAAAGGTAAGTAATTGAAAGTTACATTATGACTGTTTATTAATTTAGAAGATGTTTTGGTTGATATTGAAAATGTTAGAAGATTGGGTAAGTTTTTTAACAAGTTTAATAATATGTTTAAGTTTTTTAAAAAAGAGATATAGTAGAATACTATAAAGTGAATATTGGTAGTTGTAACTTTATTTGCGAGAGATTTTGTTAAGAATTATATAAGTAGCTGCATAGATTATGGAGCATTGAATTTTGTGCCAAGTAGTTTTAATACTTTTATCAGTGATACTGTTGATAGAAGTTTTATGTAATAAAAGTTGTTGAGTTAAAGTATCAGCAAAGAAGCTCCAGTCTTCTGTAGTCATTGTTTTGTAGTTGAATATATAATAACTGATTTCAGTATGTTTTTATAAGGGTTTACCGTAGGCATATGGGAATGTCCAAATAGAGGTAAGAATCAAATAGTCACTTGAGATAGAGGTTTGACTGTTGTCAAGACTGTAAAAAAGAAGAAATTGTATATTAAATTGGTCAGTTCAGATGTAGTTAATATAACTACTGCTAGTATTGTTAAACCAAGTAAAGTGTTTGTTGTTAAAATGAGCTCCAATATCATACATATTGAAATGATTAAGAAAATTAATAAGTTTATATTTGAAAGAGGACTATAAATATAATCCTATATATTAAATCACCAAGAATAATAGGATAAAAATGGAGTTAAGAAGCTTGTTAAATCTAGTTGATTATTGTGTTTTGGGTTTAGTTGTGAATAGCTATATCAGTAGATAAGAGATATACTAAGATAATGTGAAGTTTAACATTGCTTTGAAAGAAGATATCAAGTGCAATAGCTTCTCCTAGTGAGTATGAATATTGTGAATGTGAGGTTTAAGATAATTATGAATCATAATGGCTGTTCCTTTTACAAAAATAGAGGAGTTAGACCAGTAATAGATGAAAAAGTTATTATTACAGAAGAAGAGATTAGTTTTGTTAGAAATTTTTGTTTCAGTAATACTGGCAATAGATATGTTATTATTAAGACAATAATCTTGTCAGGCTTTTCTTTTTGTTGGATCATTGAAGTCTCTAACATTGTATATGGCAATAGTTAAGTTAAAATAATGAGAACTTGGATTAGAAGAGTATAAAGCAGAGTTATGATCAATGGAAGTTGAGTGGTAGTCATTAGAGAAAAAATCAGATAAAATAGAAGTAGAGCTAAAAGAGTTAGATTTAAGAGAAAGGTTATAGAATAATGAAAGAAGATGTAAAGCAATAATGATATGATTTGACAAAAAAGTATTATTAGAGAAGTATATATAGGTTTTATTATAAGATGAATTAACAGAAAATGTAATACTAAATACAGTTTTGTTGTTATTATATTTGTCAATATGTTTGATTAAAATTTGAATAGTTTGACTATAAAGGAGAAGTAATAGATTGTAA